TCCGGGCACCGCCTCCCAAACTAGCTCTCTTCCAGCCGTCAAGGCTCACAAACGGCGCCTCCGCCACGCCCAAACAGCAGGGTCCTGAAGGACGGACCGAGCCTCCGGGCAACAGCTCCCACTGCCTAACGTTGCTTTCTGAACCTACAAGAAAACTAGCTCTCTTCCAGCCGTCAAGGCTCACAAACGGCGCCCTCGCCACAGCAAAACAGAAGGGCCCTGAAGGACGGACCGAGCCTCCGGGCAACGGCTCCCAAACTAGCTCTCTTCCAGCCGTCAAGGTTCACAAACGGCGCCCTCGCCACAGCAAAACGGCAGGGCCCTGAAGGACGGACCGAGCCTCCGGGCAACGGCTCCCACTGCCTAACGTTGCTTTCTGAACCTACAAGAAAACAAGCTCTCTTCCAGCCGTCAAACCTTCAAAAACGCGCCGTCAAGGTTCACAAACGGCGCCCTCGCCACAGCAAAGCAGCAGGGCCCTGAAGGACGGACCGAGCCTCCGGGCAACAGCTCCCACTGCCTAACGTTGCTTTCTGAACCTACAAGAAAACTAGCTCTCTTCCAGCCGTCAAGGCTCACAAACGGCGCCCTCGCCACAGCAAAACAGAAGGGCCCTGAAGGACGGACCGAGCCTCCGGGCAACGGCTCCCACTGCCTAACGTTGCTTTCTGACCCTATACAAGAAAACTAGCTCTCTTCCAGCCGTCAAGGCTCACAAACGGCGCCCTCGCCACAGCAAAACAGCAGGGCCCTGAAGGACGGACCGCGCCTCCGGGCAACGGCTCCCAAACTAGCTCTCTTCCAGCCGTCAAGGCTCACAAACGGCGCCTCCGCCACAGCAAAACAGCAGGGCCCTGAAGGACGGACCGAGCCTCCGGGCAACGGCTCCCACTGCCTAACGTTGCTTTTTCAACCTACAAGAAAACTAGCTCTCTGAGCTGTCTTCCAGCCGCCTGCCTAACGTTGCTTTCTGAATCGACAAGAAAACTAGCTCTCTGACCTGTCTTCCAGCCGCTTGTTGCTTCCTGGCTTCTTGTTTCTTGCTTCTCTGACCTGTCTTCCAGCCGCCTGCCTAACGTTGCTTTCTGAATCGACAAGAAAACTAGCTCTCTGACCTGCCTTCCAGCCGCTTGTTGCTTCCTGGCTTCTTGTTTCTTGCTTCTCTGACCTGTCTTCCAGCCGCTTGTTGCTTCCTGGCTTGTTGTTTCTTGCTTCTCTGACCTGTCTTCCAGCCGCTTGTTGCTTCCTGGCTTCTTGTTTCTTGCTTCTTGCCGCTTGTTGCCTGTAATTGCTTCTTGCTTCTTGCTTCTTCTTTCTTGTTTTCTTCCTTCTTGCCCTTGCTGTTTGTAATGACTTCTCTGACCTGTCTTCCAGCCGCTTGTTGCTTCCTGGCTTCTTGTTTCTTGCTTCTTGCCGCTTGTTGCCTGTAATTGCTTCTTGCTTCTTGCTTCTTCTTTCATGTTTTCTTGCTTCTTGCCCTTGCTGCTTGTAATGACTTCTTGGCCCTTGCTGCTGGTAATTCCTCCTCTGACGCGCTCCCCCTGCTGTCGGCAGGGGTCGGCGGATTAGGGAACCGGGAAAGAGAAAGGGAACTGGAAACACACAGGACTTCGCACACGCTGAAGAAAAGGAAGTGGAAAAACACAGCATTTTCAATCACGCCCGGGAAAGAGAACTGGAAAAACACGGCATTTTCAATCACATCCGGGAAAGGGAATTGGAAAAACAGCATTTTCAATTACACCCGGGAAAGGGAATTGGAAACACATTTTCAATCACGCCCAAGCAAGGGAGTTGGAAAAGCACCGCAGTTGCAATCACGTCTAAGGAAAGGAAATGGAAGAAGGCCGGAACTGAACCAGCAAAGCGCGCGTAAAGACAGCGTATCACGGAACAGAAAAAACAAACTACAAACTAGGAAAATTCACCCTTCACATTCTCTGCGCTCCTGCTGACCACCGCTCCCCGTACCGTAGATGGACGCATTATTCAAACCCTTGTAATCCAATAACCCCCCGCACCCCCAATTACAATGTTGTTTTTTGGTTTGGTTCGCTCCTGCGAATGGACGAAATAAATCAAACCCTAAGATCAGGAACAAAGATACGAAACTATAACATTGAAATTTGGGGGACAGGGGTTAGCCTACAACTCATGGATGCGGGGTTTGAATAATTTGTCCATCTACTGTAGTATTACTATTGGCTTTGACATAATTTGCATTTATTCATTTATGTGTTTGTCTATTTATTTATTTATTTATTTTAAATTTATTTATCTATCTTCTCAAAAAAACACATACATGAATTCAATAACGACCCCCAAAACAACGGAACCAATAAACTATTGGGTGTCTTATAGCTATTGGCTTTATTCATATTTCTTCATCTTTCAGAACTATTGGCTTTATGAATATATTGTTCATATATTTTAACTATTGGTCTATTACAACTATTTATTCTAACTAGTTATAATAAAATAGAAGTTAATAATATTATTAACAAAGTAGTAGTAATATTTGTTAATCATAATATTTTATTGCTATTGTTGATTTATTTTTCTCCAAAAATAACGATCGTTCCCCCATAGTTGGAACCCAGGGCTCAGCTGACGCATTTGCTGAAACTCTGCTCCGTGGCTTGGCGCGGAAAGCGGCGGCCAACGGGAGGGGAGTTGAAAATGGAGAAACCAGGGTATTTCACCCAGAAAAATGGTGATTTCGTCTGATTTCGTTTGATTTAGGGGAATTCAGCAAGCAAAAATGGTGATTTTAAAGTGGATTTCACCAGCAGAAACTAGGAATTGACTCGACAAAAAAACAGACATTTCATGAGGAATTGAGTACATATCTTGGCGACATAATGGGCAATGTATTGGAAACATAGGGTTTTGTTTTAGCTTTGACCAACAAAAGGTCGGCATCTCTGGTTGTTGAACCATCGTGTCTACCACCCGCAACAGTTCTACTCTCCCAGGAGGACTTTGAATTTCTGTTCCAGGAGCCGAAGCCGTGACGCCCTGAGGATCCATTAGGGGGTCACCATTTTGCTAAAGAATCTATTATAATATATGTATATTATATACATATACATAAATATATATATATAATATAGTAAAATATTATTATAATACAATATAATATAATATGATATGATAAAATATATAATGTATATGTATATATTATTTAGTGAGTCATCCGAGTCATCCAGTCATTTAAGGATCTTCATGTCATTTCCCACTTTCTTTTTTCGTTTGCGCGAGATTTCACCGTGTCTCGTTCCGTCGTTCAGGAGGGCTGCATTGAGTGCGATGAGGCAAATCCCATCGTGGCCAAACAGGTGGAGCTCATGAAGCAGTACTTCCCGGGAGAAAAGCTCCTTGGAGGATGGGAACGGACACTTAGTGGATGTTAAGATCAACATGAGTCTCTCTCTCTCTATATATATATGATATAAGATGATATAATATAATATGATATAAATATAATATAAATAAAATATAATATAGTATAATATGATATATAATATAATATAATACAATATAATATAATATAATATAATATGATATATAATAAAATAAAATATATATGATATATAATAGAATATAATATATAATATAATAAATAATTTAATATATATCATATACAATATAATATAATGTAATATAATATAATATATAATAGAATATAATATATAATACAATAAATTCTAAAATATCATAGACTAATCAGATAATATATTATCAAAAAAACAATATATAATATAAAATGACATATAATATAATACATAATATACTATATAATATATATATTTTTAATTTAATTTACAATAAAATATATATATATTATTTAATATACAATATAAAATATATAGTATTTAATAAATAATATACCATATATAATATATAATATATAGTATATAATATATAAAATATAGTATATCAAATATAATATATCATATATAATATAAAATACCAAAATTAATTTATAATATAATATAGTATATTATAATATAATATTTAATATAATATAATATAATAAAATATAATATAATATAATATGATATGATATAGTATAACATAATATAATATAATATAACATAACATAATATAATATAATATAATATAATTATATATATATAACACAATTTAATATAATAGATAGTATAATATATAATATGATGCACTATATCATGTAATACATAATTTTATCTAATATATTATGTATAATATAGTATGTAATAATATAATATAATATATTATAGCATAATATAATATAATATATTGTAATATTATAAATCACGTAATGTAATGTAATGCAATTTAATGTAATGTAATGTAACATAAAATAATATATATTATATATATATTTAAATATATATATATAAATATTGATTATATATATATATATGATGAATGTTATATACATTATACGATTGTTGGACATAATGGGATACATTTGCCAATTTTACTGATGGTCACGGAGATTTCCTGGGCCAATCAGCGAATCCGTGGACCCATATTTTCCCATGTAACTTGACCATGGCACTACCAAGTTTGTGGATCCCTTGCCTTGCTTAGCCGCGCTTATAGCCAGGCTGTTATGATTTCTTAGCTGGTTGCGGGGCTGTGGAGACGGAACCGAGCTAAAACGTGGTTTTTCACTGTGTATCACTCAAAACTGGTCATGCTCAGTCTACCATCGGTCACAAAGCTCTGCATCTCCACAAAGCATGCTGGCCTTTGGAAAATCCCATGGGTTTTGCGCAGGACATCGATCCACAAAGAAGGGTACCCTCTGGTAATGACTAAGATAGCTATTGAACATGGCCATTTATAGTGGATTTTCCCATTGAAAATGGTGATTTTCCCATAGTTATGTTAGTTTACCAGAGGGTAGTTCACCATCCGCAACGGTTCCGTTGGTCAATGCTACCCAGGGGAACATCCGCATCCGAGGTTCAAGCAGTGGGCTGAACCCTTGGGCGTGGATGGTGGTTGGAGGAGGTCTACCAGGGCGAGATGATCCCAAGGGGGGCCGGAAAAAAAAACCAGATGGTACGGGAAAATCAATGGCCACATGGCGATCTCAAATTTAGGTGAAGAAATGAGGTTTTCGACCCATTTCTGTGAAACCCAAACAGATTTTACCACGGGAGTTTTGAATGACAGCTCATTTTGGAAGAAATTGATGAAATCCTCAAGCAAGGACCCGGAATGAACCGATGCAGTACGAACCTAGGGTTTCTGGAGGGGTGTTAATGAAAGGGGCATTATCGGATAATATGGGGCAAGGGTTGAGATCTGATCCCAATTTGGGAACCCAAGTGTATCATTACTGTATCTATATCTATATATATACACACGTACAGACACCAATCAGACAAAGGATGGTGCGTGTGATGTTTGATGAGTCAATGGTCACACAACAAAAATGAGGAGTTCCGAAGAGGCAATAGCATTTGGTAGCCTAACCTAGCTATGGAAAATCACCATTGTTAAAAGCAAAATCATCGAACGGCTGCTCGCATCCATCTTGGAGTGAAGGAACAAATTTCACCATTTGAAGAGCCGCATTGTACTGTTCAGCCCAGTTTTGTTCCCACATATGTGTATATATATATATATATGTATACGTATATAAATATATATATATAAATAAATAAATAAATAAATATATATATATACATATGCAAATATATATATATATGTATATATATATATAGAGCACCACTTGATATTGTAGAAGGAATGTCACCAAAGATGCAGCCAACTCCAAAAGAAAAAAAACACATGGCCACTTGCTACAGGTGCCCAACGCCAACGCCAGGTACGGCAAGTGGGAACCAGCCATGGACTTTGTCCAAGAGACAATGAAGAAGTTCGCGCCGGTGGATGTGTGCCATGCCGCAATGCAGAACAAGTGGTGATTTTGCTGAGAAAACATCTCAACAAATGGGGATATACTGTAACTGATGTGGCTATGGAGTCCATGGAGGATGTGATTGGCTAAATTAGGCCATCAAAATAGGGAGGCAAAACAACAGCTGGGTAAGCGAGATGAGACCAATCTTTCTGACCGACCAGTCGCCCCATAAATGATGTGGTTTCAAAACAAAATGGGGGAATCATCCAAGGTAAAGTGGAAAAATATGAAACATGGCTGAGGTTGCGGATGATGATAGAGTCTAAGTAAGTTTTGGATAGATTTGGCAGGATCAGCTTCTAGACGACTAAGATCTGGGGATTTGGCACATTTTGGAACTGTTCCCCTGGCCCCGAAAAACCATGCCATCCTCGACCATTGTCATCCATCAGGATGTGCCACCCAAAAAAGCCAGCTTGATCTGCCAAGTTTTGTCCCTGGAACATCTGGAAACAAAAAATCAATCCCAATCTTGTTGAAGCTTCAGTGACCTCCCAGTGAGATTTCGCACTTCCAGTCCGTGTCCATGGCTCCTCCATGGCTCTGGTCCTTCAGGTTGCTGGGCTTTAGCCAAGGGAGCAATTTGGCACATCCATTGGCCGCGCGCGCTGCGCGAGGTGCGCTGGGGTCTCAAACCCGGGGACGGTGCTGGAAATGGGACTGGAAGGTCCCAAAAGATGGCCGATTTCTATATGTTTCCAGGATGGGTTTGTTTCGATGCAGTTTCCCCCCGTTATTTTTCAGGCTGCCAAGTTTTCGGCATCAGGAACTGGGTTTTCCATGGGTTTTCTAATTCTTTCCCCACCGGTTTTCCATGAATAGTTTGGAATTGCTATACACAACCCTTCAGCTAGGCAATCACTGGAGAAAGGGGCAGGTTTATAGTCGAGAAGAATTTACCAACCGTTTTTTTTGGGAAAAAGATAGAGGTATATTGCATTTAAACAAGTGTAATTAATTGTACACACACATATATATATGTTATATGAACGTGTTTTTTAAATATATGATAAGACAAATAAGTGTATGTATGTGTATATATATACAGATACACATTCTGGCGCTTTTCTACAAGGATTATTGTGAATCCTTACAGCCAAATTGTATAGAGACTTAGAGCTCCTCACTATAGACATGAGTAGAGAAACGCAGAGAACACCACGATCCGCAGGACATCCGGGGATGCCGCCCATCAACTGTGTGGTGCACTTCTGCACAACAAAGCCTGGCTGGGTAGCGCAGACGCCGGAGCTGTTTGAGTACCAGAGCCTGGGCTTTTTCTATGGCCAGTTTGATGGCGAAAACGGGGAAAGCACTGGGATTTTGGGTACCCTATTGTGTGAACGGAATCATTTCTTCACAGAAGATACAGTGGGACAAAACCTATCCGTTCATGGCTTTATGTTTTGTGGCTCTGTGGACTACAGAGAAGAACTCACCCATTTGTCATTTCCAACTTTGCTCATGCTGCCCAGGCCACATTTTACGGTGGTAAGTTGGTAGGTTGGTAGTTTCATTTTCCCCTTGGGTTGATTAAAGAACCAAATTTCGGCTTCTGGCACTTTCCCGCAATGATGGTCTCCTACTACTAAAAAAAGGGAACCTCATCCAAATGCGATCGGCAATGTTGTAAGGGTATATGATGATTCGTTTTTGTTTCACCCCATCAACGTATCTTGGTGGAGATATAAAGAAAGGTAAGCTCCCAAACAAAGACCTTTCTCTAGGGTTGTCCCTTCTTTGAGCCAGTGGCCTGGCCTTTCATACTTTTGTCTGCCAAGGCCTTTGGGTTTATTCAAACCCCTCTTTTGAGTGGAGTTTCCCACATATCTTTGAAAATTGTTAAAGATTCAGAGGAAACCCAAAACACATATTTTTCGTTGAGTTCTGCCGAAAAGTCTTCCCATGTTTTCGCATCCAAGTTGCAGCGCTAGGATTCCAGTGCCCGCGCTGCTCATCGAGGGAAAGGTGGATGAGACCGCGCAGGGGGCCGCGGATGTGGCGCTGACCTATGCGGATCCAGTGCCTTGGTGGATCCCGGTGGATCCCGGTGGATCCCATGGGAGAAAACCATGGGGGATTTGAAAGTGGGAACTGACTGTACCATGTCTTTTTTGTTGGTGAGGTTAGATTCACCTTAAAGGATAAGTGTGTTTGTTTCAGAGCTTCGAGACGGAGAGATGGGGTCAGATTCTGTCAGATTTCTCCCAGCTGATGCTGGTTGACCTGAGAATCTGAAGATCGAGGTTTTGTGTAATCCACAGGTTTTGGACTCTCCCGTCATACTGTTTTGGCTTAATTTGAAAAACAGGACATTTTCCATCAATGCATTGACTTGTTCGAGATGGATTGAGACCTATTTTCACATTTTTTTTTTGGATGCACCCCGTTTAGCAGCTATTTTGGTCTGAACGACGTTGTACCAGGGGGTTTGACCCATGTCAGGTGGTGGTGAAGCACAGTGACGGCTTGAATCTGAGAATCTGTGGATGTTTGTGACCCCGCTGGGGCCTAGGTACAAGGACAGAAATCCATAAGCGATAAGTTGGATTGAGTTGATTTGTTTCACTGGGCTATCGAACTTTCTTGGAGCTATGTTTGTTTCCTACAGTTGGATATTGGATGGGTGAACATAAGCCAATTTTACAACTACAAGTAGGGGGTGGGGGGCCCATCTTGTAGCATAGCAAGGTGCAATTTGCCTGAGGGGTAAAAGGGGTGATACCATCTGGGTTTGTCCAAAATTGGGGATCACCCCAATTACCGTTAGTTTCTCTGAACCTTTATTCGCCAGCATAAATTTGGGGTTGATGGGGATCAACACCGCCACTTGGTGCATGACAGGTGGTTGTCCTTGCCAAAAACAGCAGGCTATCATAATGGATTCCGGGAATCCACAATTTATCTATGCTTTTTGGGATGTTCCAAGAGGTTTCCAATTGTTGCTTATATAAAACCAGAAAAACATGAAGCCCAAAACCACATGAAACCATGCAAGTAACCATAAAGCATGTAAAACCCATGATTCTTGCGGAATCTCCAATAGTTTTGGTTCAGCTGACTTCCCTGTTCCACAAAATCCTTAAGGCCACCGACCTTTCCCCAAAGATGTGGCGGAAGCGCGGGAGTTGGCACAGAAGATTCGGGATTTTGTGCCTGGGTGGGAGGGGGGAGGCTTACTTGGAGGAACCCCCGCGATCATAACCAATCAGCCACGTTTTTAGGTTTTACCACCAGATTTCCGATGGTTAAAACCCATATAACCTCTGGTAATTTCACAGTTTGCTATTCAAAACGGTCGATTTAGCTGAATGATTGCCCTTTTGAACATTGTTGGAAAATGTGAAATCGAGGGTAAATGTTTGGAGATCTGCCAAATTTGGAAGAGCTGTAGAGACTGTGAAGGTTGGATTGCGGTTTCCGCATTGAAGTCAGCTTGAAAAAGTGCAAAGGTTGGAAAGGTGCTAGTTCCAATGTGCTAAGCCCAATCATCAACTCCAGGTACAATCTTCACATGATTGGGGTATCATCTTTTTAATAACCTTATTGGGGATATATCCCATTACATGGGAAGCTTCTCAACTCCCAGTTGGAGGGGCCCTCCACCAGGTACTTTTGCATTGCCGTGGCTCGAGCCTGTAACAACGCCGAAAGAAAAGAAGAAGTGAAGGGAGCCGGGCAAACGGGATGGTGAAAAGGTTGGTGACTGTTTTTCATGCATCAGCCAGATCCATATAGATATCCATTCCTCAGTTTCTTTTGGCTTATTCACGGTTGTTCACCAGGGGTAAAGCTTTGGACACCTTGAAAAGAAGGGACCACACATCAACCTGACGATAGTCGTGGCCATTTACTGGTCAAAGCTTTCTGAATCCATCCCCGCTGACATCAAATGCCCTTTGGTTATTTGACCTAGCGATGGAACATGGCCCATTTATGGATGATTTACCTATTGAACACATAATTTTCCATAATCATCTTAAATTACCAGAGATACCCCTAAAGCTGAAACCGTGATTTAGTATTGGAGCACACACACACATATATATACACATAGGATGGTCATCATGTAGCCATTGAAATCCCATGGGGCCCATGACCATGGGGCCCATGACAAAGGGGGGCCACCAGGCGAGGCCTTACCGTTGCTTCCGTGGCTGCCTGGGATGCCGGCCCCTTGTCGTTCCAGGGCACCTGGGAGGAGGGCGACGACTTTTTGATCAACTGGTGAATGGTTGGTGAATATGCAAATATGCCATCATTTTTTGCTATGAAAGGAGAGTTGTGACCCATACACCTAAGTTAAACATTTGTCATGAGCTGATGAAAGGGGGTGGAACCCTCCAACAATCTCTGACTGATGATTGATGTTTCACGTTGAAGGATATTGATGTTTCGAACTGTTGCTAGGTCGCAACAGTAGGATTGTTGGATCTGACCCCATCAGTTGGAATGTCACTTTCCACGACAATTTTGGTTGGTATCTGGGTTTGTCTGACATCAGGGTACCCCAATGCCAATATCCCATGGTTTATCATCATTTGCCCTCATAAAATGCCATCTTGGGCACGATCTGTTACGCATATGTGAAAAGACACATACACACATGTATACAATATGTACCCTCTGGTCATCAAACACGGCATTGGAAAATCCCCTACACATAATAGTTTCAATGGGATAATTGTCTATGAATGGTGGATTTTCAGTTGCCACGTTTGATTACCGGAGGATGTACAATATGTATATATATATATGTACAATATGTATATATATATATATAATATGTGTATATATACATACAATATATATATATAATGATATGTATGTACATATATATATAATGTGTATATATAATATGTGTATATAACATACATACATGTATATATATATACATACATGATATACACAGTACATATGACTATCATGACCCCCTATGCCATGCCAGCCATGACACTCCTCAGGTGGAATTTGATTTGTCAATGAAGGCGAGGTCGGTTTCAACGGTCTCTTTACGGTGGTGCAGAAGCTATCGGTGCAGTTGGGATAGTGGCAGAACTATGGCTATAACCTACAGACGAGTTGTGATATCACATCATAACACATGATATGAGCCCTTTTTCACTATGGCGACAAATAACCACTCATTGAGGAGTGTATAGAAACCATGAAACCAAGAATCGTAGCAAACACGTAGGATTCGAGAAAAAAGCATGCTATCAATCTATGACCAACATACCTTTGCTGCCTTCAATGCACCACCAGCGGCGGTTGAAGCGATCGACATGGGGAATGAGTTGGAAGAACCGGCCAAGATGGTACCTGAGAAGATCTTCGGCACTTCGTTGCTTTCTTCTAAGCATATGAGTTTGTCCAAAAATGGGGAATGCCCCGCAACTGTCTTTTGTATCGGGGAACATGATGATGAACATTTTTGCAGAAACCTATTTTCAGCCTCAAGTGGGTGGTCTCCGAAGTCACCAAACCAATTTTTGGATCACCACAGATTGTTCGTCTTGTCATCTATCCCAAGTCTCAACTAGTTTTTATTACCAGGTTTCCAGACCCTAAACTTCGGATAAGGCGCCCAACATCATGCTTGATATTGGGAAATCCAGGGCTTTCCGACACGAATGCCCATGCATCATGGGCTTGATCTTTGAATTCTATTGAGATTTCGAGATTTCCATATAGCAAAGTTTCTTGGAAACATCCAAACTTCTACATCTTGGAGATTTTTCCCATGGGTTTTTCTCACCATTTCGTGACCGTTCGTCCTCCCATCAGGATGGAAAGCCCAGTGCGGTGGCTGTGCGGCACCGCTTGGATTTTCATGCCAGCGAAGTTGGAT